TTGGTTTTGTTTATTTGATTAATCCCTCCACTTATGAGGCCGATGGCCGTTTGGGCCTCATCGACTTGGGATTGTTCGTCTTGCGAGAACGCAACTGGTTCCGCATTTACCTTGAGTTTGCTGTCAAGGTTGTCAGCGTATGCACGCTGATTGCTATGGGTCTCTTATAGAGAACCGCTTCCATCTTTACTAGGAAAGACGACGACTACTAGGAGTCAATTTCTTTAGATCACTAGGGATCTTTTGGGCAGGTTAGACTGCCTTGTGGTGACCAGGGTCAAGAGTGGGGTGCGGCACGCCACACCTAGGGGGGGGGGTCGTATTGAGGAGTCAAAAGGGGAGGGGATCGTAGTTGGGTAATCTGTTAATGGTGATAACATGATATTCGTATCCTATCCATAATTAGCATGTCAAATGACCCCTGTAGACAAAGTGTGAGCGAATTCTGAAGATTCAAGATACTAGGCTACCTAAGTGAAACGGTCAAATTCCAACATGGTTAACTTTGTTTCAAACGTGAATTAGCTACCCGTTTTTGCACTCAAGACAAAGCACTACTCCTTCTTTGTCCATCACAGGAATTTCTCTTCACAATACCTCCAAACTGTGGAATTAGAAGCCAACCAAAATCTCGTTTTTCCCATTTTTCGCTTTTGATCGCTGTGCTTTCATCAAATATTACTCAGAGCTAAGAAGACGAATCAGGCTCCAAACAGTCCCATGAAATCTACAAGGTTTAGGCTATCGATTCATATAAGGATTGTCCGCTAAAAATGTTTTTTTAATATAATTAATGGGGTGCGGCACACCCCCTTAAAAGCTAAGGCCGCCACAGTTTGGAGTTATTCTTAAGCGGGGTTCCTGAGTTGGACAAAGAAGGAGTAGCGCTTTGTCTTGAGTGCAAAAACGGATAGCTAATTCACCTTTGAAACAAAGTTAACCATGTTGGAATTTGACCATTTCGCTTAGGTAGCATAGTATCTTGAATCTTCAGAATTCGCTCACACTTTGTCACAGGGGTTAATTTACATGCTAATTATGGATATGTTGCCCATTATGGTTGACAGGGCCTTCAAGTAATGCTATCCTAATTGTATAGTTCAGGGGGGGGGTCTTATTAAGACAGCAATCAGGGGGGGGGGGGTCGTAACCAGCGATCGTGTGCCACACTATAGTGCCACACTATAGTTAGCACCAAATATTCGTGTTCGAATAATTTATTCGAAATATTCGACTATTCGAATATTCGAATAGTCGAATATTTGAAAAAGTCCATTCATTCGATTATTCGAATAGTCGAATAAATGAGAAAGGCCTATATTCGAATAATTCGTTCATTCGACGATTTCGAAAAATGACTTATTCGAATATTCGTTCATTCGATGAGTTTTAAATAAAGGTTATTCGAATATTCATTCATGCGAGTAGTTTTAAAAGATAGTTATTCGAATATTCGAATACTGCATTCAGATATTCGAATAATATTCGAACATTTATTCGAAATTAGTCGAATATTCGATCAAGTTCGGTTATTCAAGTATTCGTTCATTCGAATTTTGGAATATGCCAATATTCGAATATTCAAATTCGAATAAAATAAAAATCGAAAGTCAAATAATATTCGTTCATTCGAAGAATTTTCGAAAATCAAATATTCGAATTCATTCGTTCGAAAATTTTTCGAAAATTCAATTATTCGACATTCATCCGTTCGAAAAAATTTTAAAAACCGATTATCCAAGATTCGTTCATTCGGCGAAAATTTTTATTCGTTACAACTATATGCCACACCCCTTGCTTGACCCTGGTGGTGACTGTCTTCGAGTTTGGCCTAGACGAGGAAACTTACTTTTCTTTTTTCGGCTTTGGTCGATGCACCAAAAATGTCATGTATGTGCACGGTGGTTTGTGGTAGACTGATTTATCGTTATCAGGAATGACACAGGTAGGCGTAGCGTTCAAACTGGACGCTACTCAAACAACGATTGGTACCTCGGGTCGCATTTGCGCCGCAAAATGCGAACATTAAAATTGATAAAATAGATATCGATCGATAACGAAAAGTAGCCTATGACGCGCTCCCTGCCCCGAAGTGTATGTTGCCAAGTTGGTCCAAATCGGTTCAGAAATAAAAATTTCTATTCCGCACATACGTACACACATAGGTACATACCAGTGGCGTACCGAGGGGGGGGGGGGAAGAACGGGTCGCGAAATTTTTGAAAGTTACTTACATGAGTTATAAAAATGTGCAAGTGACTTGTTTATTTTTGTAAACAATTAAAATAATTTTTAAAATTTTTTAAGAATTCAAATTAGCCTTATAAAAAAAAATTTTTCGGTGGCGTGGCTGACGCCACGCCCCCTTTTTCCAGATTTTAGGGGTCGGGGGCCCGAAAAAAATTTGAGAAGCCCCCTAAAAAATTTTCGGAGTGCGTGGCTAACGCCACGCACCTGCATCTGAAAAAAATTTTTGCCCCCCCCCCCCGAGCCAAAATCCTGGGTACACCACTGGTACATATATACATACAGACACAGGCATTCAGCTTTATATATAAGATTTTTTCGTCATATTTTAAAGATCATGAGCACTTGACGATGTTTGCTAATGCTAGCTTATTGTTAGAATTTATCTGATACTGCTGCAACTACAGATGGAGCCTCATACAGAAAACAGAGTCTGCCTGCATTCGTGTTTATGTTCTTGGTTGTTTATGTTTGTCCATGTTCGTCTAAGTCAGTTTATTCGCAGATTAATAAAAAAGTTTTTGCCCTCATTCCGATCAAGTCTGCAGACAAACGCTTCAAGAAAAAGAAAAGAAGCGGTTTTTAATCGAAATCGTTCGTTTCTTAATCTCGTGGAATAAAAAACAATGGAAAGGGAAGAAGTAGTAATCATGCTATTCACGTATTAGTTTACATCATAGAGATTAGAATTATGATCTCTTTGCACATTCCATTTTAAGAAAAACGTATCGCCCTACCATTCAGGCGTCTTCGCACAAGAAACAAATGGACAAAGAGATTCGAGCGCCTCCTGCGAATATGCACCTTGCCACTGGTGTGAAATTCGTTCAAAAGTAGGTGTTTGAAAAAAGCATAGATTTACTGTCATGTAAGCAAAAGCATCTAGGATAAAACTTAGCTACTCCTTGCACAATGACAGTCGTTCAAACTATGCGGATTCGAATGCCTGAATGTCAGCTGTGTCGTACAATCTTCGAAAGATGTGGCTTTATCTTTCTTATGAGGTAAAAGACGACTCTGGGCAAGAAAGATCACTTGTACAAAAAAGATTGCATCCATTTCCACACATATTATTGTCGGCAGTCATGTTTAGGTCCGAGAGAATACTCGAATAAAGAGCAGAATAAAGAAAGTGCAAGTTTTACCACATTGATTCATGTCACCGAACAAGACTTCCCGAAAGCTTGTCAAGCGTGCTGGCGCTTGTAATTTAGCGCGATCCGTGCCGAGAGAAGAGAGGAATAGTACACAAACTATGGAAGCACATTGGTGACGTCATGGGTGGGCGAACCCAGCGCGGCACTTGTGAATACCGATCTTAACCAGTGGGTTCGCGCTCATGTTCGCATGGTTTCATATGACGTCTTGTCACTTTCGCTGGCCCTCGCGCCAAAGCATCCAAGTTGTTCCGGAACCCACTGGGTTCGTTGATGAATACAGCTCAGGGTATCAAAGTGGACCCCACGATCATATGAAGGACTGACTCGACTATGACTTGCACCGGCTTGCATGCTTTCGCGCGAAGGCCAGCGAAAGTGATAAGCCGTCATATGAAACAATGCGAACATGAGGCAGGTCGTTCCATTGAACTACGATCCTGGGATCCAGTTTGAAGACGATTATCTAAGCCGTGAGTACCCTATTTGAGCTGCCGGTTGGGAGGTGTCTTACTTAGACTCTCAAAAGAAATTACTTTCCATGTGACAGACATCTTTTTCTTCTTTTCCTAATCATCTTGAGTTCCAACAATCTTTGAAGATAGGTTTACACTTTTAGCTGTGGTCAGATTTCTTAACTTCAGTTTTTTCCCGCTTCCCGGAAAATTGAGTGTCTCGTAAAAATTCCAGATTCTCCTTTCACAAAATGAACATGATTGCAACTAATTTTTTGAATTTTTTTGAAATGCCCTAATTTTGATGGTAAAGCCAATCCTCTCAAAAGAAATTGCCTACAAAGTTGAACAAAGAGTAGAGCATCTGCACCAAAACGGCCTAAATTGTTTATTCTTCATACTTTTTTAGAAATTCGTGTTAAAATTTTAAAAATCGAGCTGAATTATTTTCAAACCTAGGTTTGATTTCGAGTGAATTATTTGACCATTTCCAGATATTTTCTTTTCAAAAACCTCATTTCTGAGATGTGTCAATATTCGACGATTTCGAAAATTTTGATAACCGTAAGTCGGATGGTCCACTCGTTAAGTATTTCTAATCATTGTTTGATATCTGTTCGATTAAATGTTCTTAGAATCCTTCGTTGAAATTGTTTCATTAAAGCCTTCATTCAAGAAGAATTTTTGGCCGTAATGACTGTATGATCCAGGTCATTTCGCACCTCATAGCGTGGTGGTGAGAGATCGTAACTGAGAGAGAGAGAGAGAGAGAGAGAGAGAGAGAGAGAGAGAGAGAGAGAGAGAGAGAGAGAGAGAGAGAGAGAGAGAGAGAGATATTAGAGAGGCGAGAGAGACTGCCGCGTAGCGCAGCGCAATAAGGGTTGCGTCGCACCTCTGTAATTACCACACGGTGCGGCTGCGAACGGCTGTCTGGGTATCAATTGATAAGGACTCCTTTAAAAAAGCTTTCCAATAATTGCACATGATTTTAAGAGTAGATTGCTGCCGCGTTAGTAACCGGATGGTTTAATGTGAAAATGCAACGTCCCCTCGTCCATCCTCCTACATCAAGCTGCATATAACCGCAAAAAATAAAGCATAAAGTACATTTTGTATAAACTTTTGGATCAGAAAAAATCTGATAGGTATATAGAGCTCTAAATGATACCAACATCAATGGTATCTCTCATGGCTTAACTGGAAAGTACCAAACAATTTACTTTTACCAACAACAACAACAAATCAACGGTAGGACTTCTGGTATCGAGCACGTGCTCCAGGTCCTCCAAATTTCTTCGCCTCGCTGCGACGAGGATCGGCAACAAGCAGGGCTTTATCGTAAGCAAAAAGCTGATCCTTCAGCTCTTTTTTACTCTGTTCATCAACATATTTGTGGTAGTATGCGACCTGTGATAACTACGTTTAAAAGGGTTCATCTTAAAAATCACTTACCAATGCTTTGGCGAGTGCTTGTCTCACAGCATAGATCTGTGCTACATGACCACCGCCGCTAACGCGAATTCGAATATCAACATCTTGGAAGCGTTCTTTACCCACGACCAAAAGAGGCTCCTGAAAACAATATCGTAAGCAATCTCATTCCCAAAATTGAAAAGAAATATTTGACATAGTTAATATGAAATGGAAAATCAAACTGTAATAAGCAAAGTGATTCAAAAAATCTTCCTTCTTCCTGCCGAAAATTGCAGAAAACAGAAGCTTTTAATGCGGGCGCTGCATCACAGAAACATAGAGATTGGATCAAAAGTTTTCTTCTATGACACAGATTTGATAACCATACGCAGATAAGCATGAAAGGGCAGCGTCCGATGAAAGGGATGAAAGGGCAGTGCCCGATCCTTGTTCCAACGCTTCCACTAGTTCATAGAGAAATGTGCTGTGTCAACTCGAAACGCTGAATAAAAAAAAATTAACTGCTCAAACACTTTCTAGAACTGACTTCAAACCACCACAACATAGTCGGCCGAGTGAAGATGACACTCATTAAGCGCTGCTTTCAGCCAGCACAACAACTTTTTGTGAGGACATTCCGCATAATTACTCAAACAGGTATGAAGTATGTGTAGATAATCCATATATCAGTGAAAAAAAGTAACACTAATAGCCGCGCAACTGCATGCAAAAGTGAAATTACATGCAGTGATACACACAAATAGACATTATCTTTTGTAAAGACTTATAATGAGAAAGGGAAGGCCAGCGCAAGCAGAAGAAATTCTTTACCAAAATAAGTGCAACAGAACCTTACATCGAAAACAAGTCAACTCGAAGCCACAAACGGCAGGCAAAAGATAAAAACATCTACTATAAAAACAAGGTATAGTGAAAATTACCTGCAATTTCATGCGAAGAATCTGAGGCTCCAAATGCTCGAGCGGTCGACCGTTGACCTTAATCAGACCTCGACCCTTCTTGCAATGAGCAATCGCTGTAGCCGTCTTCTTCCGACCAAAGGTCTGCACAGCCTGGATAGGCTCCTGCCTAGTCATTGCACCCTGCAGCATATGCTTACTAAATAACAGAACAGTCATAACAGCTGGAAATGGAGTGTTTCACAATAAACATATACTGACCAAACAATGAAAGGCTACTACCAAAACCCAACTCTACACACAATGAAACAAATCTTCATTGCTCTCCAAATCAACAGTGACTGTTTATCAGCACACATGCTGTAACCATGCTATACATCGACATAATATTCACAAATCAACAAAAAATCAACAATAACAATCAGCAAGGCAAACTATTTGCCTTTACCCTTTGCTCGATACTCAGCTACAACAACAGCATGATCTCTTTCGTACGGCTCCAAAGTGACCTGCTCCCTAGGCTTAAACTTCTCCTCTTTCAGTTTATTGACTTCTCCAGCAAATACAGCTTCCGGTTCTGCGGTACTGTCAATGCAGTTGGCCTTGATTGAGATCACTGCATGTCCGCCATTTTTCAAGAAATTATGAGCATTTAGAGCAACAATACGAGCCTGATCAGGTTGCGCAACATCCGAGAAGATAGTGTCTACCATACCTGGAAACAGCTTTGGAATAGATTCGTAGTGACATATACGTGTGCGGTTAAGAAGCCGACACAATATAATGGCTAGAAGATCCGACGGTGGGTAATGCCCTGCAGTGCCAACACCTGACGAAAACATTTGCGCAAGAAAAAATCGCTACTATGTATCTGCCATGCCGCGGATAGGCTAGTGCAAAATGGCCTTATAGCGCATATCTATACAAGTTTTGCAATTACAATACACTTTCTCAGGCGACTGTCAGCTACGCTAAGCCATCGAAGACATTGTCTTGTGACATTAACTTCTAGGAAACTCACCAACGAGCATGCGGTATTTATGCGGATGACGAGCATCCTCAACGATAGGAACGATATTAGGCCTTTTCTTAGCAACGTTAAGGAGATCACGACCAGATCGATGGGAGAATTCAACTGCATAGACAATGCCTTCCTGCGTATAGTAAATAAGAGTAGCTATATCAATGCGATTTCAGCACTTACGGTTCCCACTATATCCGAGCAATGAGAGACTGTTGTTCCAGAAGCAGCACCCAGATACAAAAGTTTCGTTCCTGGTTTGATATGTACATTCTCCAATCCAGCCATCATGGCAGCAGCGAGCTTAGATCGGAATGGATTCCAAACTCGGTACTCAATTGAGGTTCCAGAACCATCATCAACAGATACCCTCTTTTCACCATAAACAGATTCCCCAACAACCATATTCTTAGTAGCAAGAGCATCCTCTTTACCCTTGACGATGAAGACACCTGAAAATATCAATTCCAGAAGCGCTAATTAGATGAGAGTAAAACGCACCCTCATACCGATGTGGTTCGATAACAACAGTTTTTCCTCCTCTCATGCCGCCTCCTCCTCTACCTCCGCGAGGTGATCCCCTACCGGCACGAGGACTGCCGCGTCCGCCTCGTGGAGAACCCCTAAAACTGTAAACCCGTAAAAACTCTTGACTACTGACAAAAAAACCTGAATCACCTTCCACGGTCTCCACCTCCGAATCCTCCTCGTCCACCTCTAAAACTGCCTCTATCTCCACCACGACTTCCACGAAATCCACCACCACGATCCCCACCGCCACCTCTTCCACGAAAACTTCCACCTTTGTAATCACCTCGAAATCCTCCCCCACGAAATGCTGAAACAATTCAACTAATTAGAAGAGTTACGTAAAATCGGATAGGCATTTTTATGCAGAGTTAGAGCTATGGTAAACTGATCAACAAGCGCAAACCGCACATAAGCAAATCACTAGTATAACTAAACAAGTAGATATATGCTTCCACTGCTTGTAAATACCGCGTATAAGAAGAAGAAAGCGTGACAGAAAAACAACGAAAAATACCAAAGAGATTGGGCGACAGAGGACACTGTATAATAGAACCCAACATGTCATTGACTTGGTACAGTAGGCAAAACCAGGCGTAGAGGGATTGCATAGCCGCTGTAACTGCACAAACTTCGCTAAAAATGTTTTACCGAGTTTGTCTTTCGCCAACCACGGAAATAAAGTAGCCCGCACTTGCATATGCTAAAACTGAGATTTCAAAAAAGTACTCCAAATTAAATTTTATTAATCACAATGATCCAATCACGGTCAAAATTGGGACTTATATGTTTTCGAGGTCCTCCTTTTCAGTAATGTTTGTTTGCTGAAAGATGAAAGCGAGATTTCAAATGCAGTGAGATTTCAAATGCTGAAAGTGAGATTTCAAAAAAGTATTCCAGGTAAAAGGAATTTCAGGAATTTCAGTGGACCAGTCATGGCAGAATTGGGATTTATGTGTTTTCGAGGTTCTTTTTCATAGTAACAATTGTTCGCAAAATAAAACACAAGAAGTACTTTGCACAAAATGTTCAAATCGATTTTGAATTGGATAATCATCCGAAACAATACCAGTCAACTAATTATGGCTACATGAAATACAGGTTACAACTTTTGTGCGCCTGCGGCATTTTGCCCGAGGGAAACCTTTATAGGGTCCGAACCGTGCAATGCGGAGAAGGGGAAACCGTTAGAGTAGATAAATGCACAACCGTGATCAAATACAAGCCAGTTTCTAGTTTCACCACAGATAATTTTGAAAACAGGCTCTCTAGTTTTAACCGTTGCATTCTGATTTTCAAAATTTGTTCGTAACTCTTGTGTCCTGACCTTTTACGCTAAATAGACATTGTTACTGAAAAGGAGGACCTCGAAAACATATAAATCCCAATTTTGGCCGTGAATGGTTCATTCTGATTACTGAACTTCATTTTGGAGTACTTTTTTGAAACCTCAGTTTCAGCGTATGCAAGTGCGGGCTACTGGTTACCGTGGTTGGCGAGAGACAAACTCAGTAAAACATTTTTAGCGAAGTTTGTGCAGTACAGCGGCTACGCAATCTCTCTACGCCTGGTTTGAGCCCAACAGTCGAAGGCACCGCCCACCCACCTCTCGACTTCCACATCTTTGTCGTTTCAGGGCCATCTCATATCCCTGATTCTTAATATGAAGTCGAGAATAAGCGAAAACTCAGACAATTTCCGTTCCCGAGAACATAGAGGCCGGCTTTCTGGAACGCTGATTGGATGGGCGTGCACAAATGGGCGGGCATGGATGGGGAGGGCAGTGCCGTCTGGGGGTCCTCGTGCATCTTCGTTATTTCGGAGCAATTTTCTCGCCTCCGAAACGACATTTTGCGCCTCCATTTGGGCTTTGGCATGATAGGGGATCCTATTATCATATTCTGCCAAAAGCTCAAGACCCTCAACTTGGGGTGGACGGTAACGAGTCAAAACTCTAGGCTAATATTACACACGTTTTCAAATGTGAAAGGAAGATGAGTTGGCGTACTACTTGTTTTGTTACAACTTTCTAAGCTGGACACTTTTCCGGGAAAATTGGTCGGGACATTTACCAAAATCAGCTTTCTTCATGGGTTTTTGACCTTCAACATATAACAGAAATTGAACACAGAATGACAAGTCTGAACATAGCATGCAACTGCTTGGGCTTTCCTCCGCATTAAAGGCAGCGACTCGGCAGATTTTTAACTTCAGGGTTTTGGCAGATTTGGGGCTATTCCGCCTCCTGAATCACGGCATGAACTCCCCTTAGCACATGGGGAAAACCTCGCTCTTTGGAACCCCTTTGAGACGGGCGCGGACGAGTGAGCGTTTTTCTCTGCCGTCAGAGACGCAGAGTAAGGAGGTAGAGAGCGCTAGAACAATTCTGCCCTACGAAGCTACGAGTGACGGCGCGTTTTCTAGCGGCGAATATACTCGTCCGCACAAGGTGTTAGGGGAGCGAAAGGAGGAAGGGGAGCGGAGCTTGGCTCGCCCCCAAAGGGCCTCCTATCCATCTATGTCAAATTCTGAGGTAAGTCTATTCTCCGAGCCGCTGCCTTTAAGCCTCGCACGAGATACAAGGCGTCTGCAGTCGCAAGGGGACACTAATGCAGCTGCAGCTTCGCTGTTTGTTCGTAAGAAGTACTCGTACCTAAATTTCGTTCCTATTTGCAGGGTTGCAGGGTTCATTCTTCACATTTTCGCAGAATAAACATCTGATGCCTTAACGCTGATCCATAGCCTGCGGTTTACTACAGATGACCCCTAATATATCTCTTTCAAGGTTTCGAATACTTTTTAAACGCTAACAAGGGAATGGTCAGAAATCGAAGTAGCCAATCCATACAAGCTGCATTCCATTAGATGCAGCATAAAACGTTGACTCTAAATCTGTCTTCCCTATCTGCAGAGCGCTTTTGTGGACGAAATTATAAGCCGTTGAAGGCCATTATTTTGCTAAGAAATAATGCGTGTAAAGTGCAAACTTGGCCGTACAAGGCCATTTTCGACTCAGTGTTGGACCAAAACATGCAACTAGGTCACTTCATATGACCCGCACCTAGAGGTGAGTTGATAGAGCAATAATGTTCCTAATTCCGCAATTTTTGTATACGCGTTTTTCGCAATAAAGCTGCTCATAACTTCACCTACAAAGGCGCTCTGCAGGTATGGAAGACAGATTTGAAATCAGCATGTTATGCTGCATCGAATGGTATACAATTTGCATGGATTGGCCACTTCGACTTCTGACCATTCCCTTGTAAGTCCAACAACGTAGTCCCCCCCCCCTCCAGAAATAGATCGTTTATACATGAGCTCATTCACAGATAAGACGGCGTTTTTTCCAACGCAAAATCGGGCAGATACAGGCTATGTAAAACTTAATTGACTGCAACTTTTCTTGACTAGCGTAAGTGAGCGATTGTCGCAAAACTGAGAGGGGTAACTTTAAGTCAAAAAATTTTACGCCCATTTCTGCGTTGTTTTTCCTGTTCGTCTATGAAAATACGTCAGAGTGAGGTGTCGTTTGTGGCAAGCCTATTGCGCTTCGGACCCAGCGTCTCCAACCGCCCCGCGTGTCGATGTTCAAAGCTAGGCACGAACAAATGGATTTCAAGTGGTCTGTAAGTCCGTCCGCAGATATAACCCTTACAACATGCATTCTGCTTCTCTCCAAAACTTATCTTTTGGTAGGACTTAGCTGAAAGCGGACTTAATTAAGAGGGGGTTACCTGCAAGATTTTTTGCAGCACGGGCATGCATTTTTTCCGTTCTGTCTTGGAAAACAGGCAAAGTTATGTGCTAGATTTTAGGATTTGCTATCTGGTCTTCACCACCCAATAAATGAATATAAATAAATATTCGCCTCTTGATCTACCACTGAGTCGTTGATCGCATAGACTGCTTTAGATTGCGGAACGCACAGCACGGGCAGATGATTGAGTAGTACCTAATCGCTGATGTACAAAAACGTGCTCTTGCGAGATTCCAGCCGCGCGGCAGGTGCTAAGCAATCTACGGCCACTGAAAAACCAAACGACTCAACGATGGGCGCTTGCCAAACTCAATCCACTTTATTCCTCATCCAATGGCTATTGGTGAAGTTATTAGGTTGTCCCAAAAGTAAACCGTGTTTCTAGATAAACTGAATTGTAGTTGTTCTCCTGGCAGACTTGGGACACCATTCGATAGAGCGAAGAGCGCTATAAAATGATCACCAATGAACCTCTAAGTCGCGATCCAGGTAAAATTTGGATCCAAAAATCAAAATTTTTCAGCTACCCTGCAAATCGGATCTCCTTCCAGAAAATTCCTATGGACTTCCAACTTGGTTCTCATATAGTAGACACATAGTAGTACCGAATAATTTTACTGATTTTTTCCAGAGCTTAAAATTGAGAAATAAAGATGGTTTCGAAATGCCAAAATGCCATTTTTTCGGGTTTTTCACGTAAAACTTGGTATTTATCGATTATAAGAGTACATACAGGGCTAAGGTTTTGAAATTGCACTTAGTAAGAATTGTAGTATACAATGACATATGTGGGAGGGGTTTGGGCGGAGTCTGCCATTTTTAGACCACCTCTTTTTTCTCGCTTTCTAAGCTCGGAAAAAATCCACTAAAGGCATATTTGAGTACTACTGTGTGTCTACTGTATAATGGCCAAGTTTGAGTTCCGCACGATTATTCTTTGCAAAAATCCGATCTTCAGGTAATAAATTTTTCTTCGATTTTTGCTCCAAACTTTACCTAGATTACGACATAGATGTATCTTCTGCGGTCATTGTGCAGCGCCTGCTCCGCTCATCAAATGATACCCAACATTCTGCCAGGAAAACAAAAACAGTTTGATTTATTTAGAAATACGGTTTACTTTTGGGGCAACCTAATAGTACGACCAATAGCGAAGTGGATGAAGTAAGTCAGGGAATGGATCAACGATGCGTGCCTACACCCATGGAAGAGACGATGACATCAAAAACATATGAGACACCTGCACAATATGATTGGAAAGGTATACCTGATCTCCTTTGTACACCACTTACGGTTAAAGGTTTTGAGTTGGGCATCGGCGCTATTCCACATTAGTTGACCCAAAAAATGAAAGTCGTGAATTTCGCTAGAACTTCGTCTAGGGGGTTATTTGGTACGCTGAACACGAATATGATGTTTATTTATTTCGTGCGACAGCGCCATCCGGTGGAGTTACGGTAGGATTACGGCAGGGGGTCAAAATCACGGATTTGCCCGAAACTTGGCCCAGAGGGGTTATTCGGCCCGCTGATGCCGAATATCATATTGGTTTTGTATAATAGCGTCATTTTCTCGGGTTACTGTGGGTATACGGTAGGGAGTCAAAATCTCAAAATCCGCTATAACTTCGCACAGAGGGGTTATTCGACATGCTGATTAGAAATGTCACACTTTCTCCGCACGAAAACATCTCCATGCATGGTTACGGTAGGTTTACGGTAGAAGTCAGAATCACAAACCGGCAAATGTATCCTTCCCCTGTGCTTTGCTTAGGCAAAAGCCGCAGCAGGGTGTGTAGCGCGCGACGGTGTTCGTGTGCGCAAAGCTTCACGATCGCCCGAGTCACCGTACACCAGTTTCAGGCAAAACTATGCTTTACATCCTTTACCGTGTGGCTACCGTAACCCGAGAAAATGACGCTACGGCTCAAAACCAATGTGGTATTTGGCATCAGCGGGCCGAATAACCCCTATGGACCAAGTTTCGGGCAAATCCATGATTTTGACCCCTTACCGTAGTTCTACCGTAACTACACCGGATGGCGCTGTCGCACGAAATAAACATCATATTCGTGTTCAGCATACCAAATAACTCCCCTAGACGAAGTTTTAGCAAAATTCACGATTTTCATTTTTTGGGTCAACTAATGTGGAATAGTTCCGTTGCATCCATCTACACTACTAAACTACTCTTGAAGCAGAGGATATTAGAAAATCGGTTCAAAGCATGAAATTGACTAAACCTTAGTGGCGCTTTGTCAATTCTTGCCACAGATTTCTGGTTAACGTCCAAATTTGGAGCGAGATGCAAGGCCTGCCTTATTAGCATGCGGTCTTCCTGAGTGTACGTCATCGATAGGGTTCTGATTATTGCAAGAAGGAGTTACTTGAGCGGTCTGGTTCAGAGAACAAAGTTTGCCCAAGCCATGGCGCAATCTGTTAATCACTACGAAACAAGGACGACCTGCTTGAAGTCGATAATTTGCTTGACTATTTGTATACAACACTGCTAGCAAGTTGCTCCAATCCTCTCAAACACATATATATTACGCACCAAAAGAAAGTTCGACTCTGACACTTATATATTACGTTTGCACCAAAAATAAGAAAGTTCAACTCTGACCCTTGTCCGTTTACGTACTGACTCGGAAATAACAGCCAGGACCGAGCTCTCGTAAAGAAATAAATTGCATGAAACGCATTACATTGTAGTGCATGCCTGTGCAACCATCGAGATAATCAGAAGTTCAACACATTCTTACTGTATCGTTTTGATTGAGATATAACGTGGGAATGAGAACCAACCAACCTCCACCACCACCTCGTGGGCTGAACTCTTTCACCATACTCAATCTGGAAATAACAATTATGAAAAGTGAGCACATATGAACTTTCTTTTACTATCGCAAATACGTACCTGCCTATGAACATGCAAGTAAACTTGAGAATAAACTACCTCAACTACTACTGGAGTTACATTTGCAAATCACGCTCCGAACGACGAGAACAACATGCTGGTTGTACCCACATTCAGAATCATACATATTACTATTCTCAGAATTTACCAGTGACGAAAAAGCTTAGGAGATACGAAGCGAGGAAATTGGCTGTTGCAAAATTTTAGGGGAAGCGACACGTCCACGCATCGTCCTGGGACCGACGTCCAAGTTCACCGAGGTGTCCTTGCATCTCACACAACGGGCAAGGCGATCTCAGACACGCGCACCGGCTGAGGGCCACAGTGGATGTCGTCTCCTCCTCCCCCCCCCCCCCCCCCAGTTGCTTCGGGTGTAGGCTGGAAGGCGACGAAACCCAGTTTGAGAGAGCGCATGGAGGCAAAAGGCGATGTAAGTTTGGCCCGCCTCTAGCCTCGAACTGAATTTGCGTTTTAGCGCGGACGGCGCGCAATTCAAATCGCAGTCGGTCTTCCCGGTCAATAGCTGCCATTCACCCGCTCTTCTATCGCATTCATTTTTCTCATGGCTTTCATGCTTTAGACTGGTCCAAAACAGTTACTTTTCGGGGTAGTCGAAGAAGGAGCGTTTACAAGCATTGGAGGTGTGAAACTAGGCCAGAGTAGTGGGTTATCATTCCAAGATGAGAACACTCTAGTCATCTTCCATAGAGCGGGTCGAGCATGGGACCAGAAGTATGACTTTCACATTAAGTTCTTGTTGATTTTGTCACAAGGTGACTATTTTGCAGCTCATGTGATCAGTATAATGTTGTGATGGGTGAAAATAGACTGCCAATCAAGGATGATGTGATTTTGAGTGTTAGCTTCAACGGAAATGAAACTCGTGTACTGAAGAAGCTAGGAAAGAACAGGCATGTCAATTTTTTGTAGCTGTAGATTTTTGTGTACATATTTTGTATTCTGGTCTATGTGAAAATACTCGTAACTGTAGTCTGAATGAACAATAGAGAGGCTCTCAAATGTCGTTTGCAATATATTTTCAAAAAAAGAAAATGGCTTGATTTGCAGATTCTATATGCCACATGGAATCCATGTAGACCGGGATGGCTATTTGTACACTACAGACGTAAGATCGTAGCGAAATGGAGGATCAATGGAAAGGGTGAGTTTTGTAGCGTTTGGTCTTTGGACGTTAGGGATTTTGATCAATGTTATCCATCTTTTTGTACTTTCTCTGGTTTTTTGTGCAAACTTTTTTATTTTCTCATTAAGGTACTTTTTTGCTGAATGACGACCACGAAAAATGTCGCGCGAGTGATAAGGCACACTTCCTGGAAATATCGGAAAGTTCTTCTGCTAGTCCGCCCAAGCGAAGACGATTGGAAACTTTTGAAATGTTTATAATTGGGCTCTTGATATCATCGCGATACTCAAATAAGCAGACCTTGATCTTGTTTGGGAGGGTGGGCATAAATCACCGGATGCCGATGCAAACCATTTCTGTAAGCCAGCTGATGTTGTCCAAACCGATGATGATGTTTTTGTCGCTGACGGATACTGCAATAGCCGCATCGTACAACTAGAAGCTGCTACTGGAAAAAGAATGGTATATCGATTGTATTCTTGTGAGGTTTCAGCTGTGGGATCTGTTTCAGGGCCAATTTGGTCTGCCTGACAGGTCCCGCTCAATTTGCTCTTCCGCATGATATCGTTGCTTCAGCGGCTGGCGGAGACCATTTGTTTGTGGCTGACCGTGAGAACGAAAGATGCAAGAGTCGTCTATAAGGGAGATTTTATAATGCAATGGGTGGGCTGCTAGGTATAAGTTTTGCGTTTTATCTTCCCTTCTCAGTGATAATTTATCGTTTTCAGCCTTTTCACAAACATCTACTCTGTAGATATAGTTCATTTATAAAATCGTGACGACGAATTTGACTGCGGACATTGCGCCTACATGAGCAGGCATCACATCAACGTTCAGCTCAGTCACTTCCAGTGGCTAAATAATATCATACATGAGCAAAAAACCATTCGATTAGAGATGAAAACGGAGAAAATGCGATTTTCGTTAGTGGCGTGCGTGTCGCGCGCGATCGCCCCATCGTCACGATTTTTCAAATGCCCTATACATACAATGTTAGGTATGGTCCCTGGACGAGCTGATCGCGAAGTTGTCTGTTCCTTTCTATGCATACCGCACATCTTGCCATGCAGTTTGTCTTTAGGGCCCTGCTCGTGTATTTGTCGGTCGGGCTAGTACTGGCCTCATTCAATACGGTTTTGGACCCACCAGCCGTCCTTTCGACCAAGCTCACGAGCTTCGTGTATCGCCTGATGGAGACCGTATCGCAGTTGGAGACATTTCCAAGCCTACGTTGTTTATGTTTATCACCTACGATTTTTTATACATAAGATTTCAACTGAGAAGTTAAATAGCGAAAACCACAATACGAGAATGACATCAACTTTCTATGAACAACGACATATCAAGAAACAATAGCAAATGTATCACCGCACATGTTCTCTAGCATGACATTGATCACGGGTCTGCTTATGTTTAGGATCATCAAATCGATCCATAGGTTGGACGGATTGTAACATTAAATAACCGACATCAAATCGCGAAGCATGATGAGGATACTGATGATTCCTAGAAAAAAAGAATATTTTTGAACTTTTGCCAGAGCGTTGTGACCACACTACTTACCCATCCAGGAACCCACTGAAAACGTTCCAACACAGTCTTCGACTTGTTTGCTGAAGTACATCTAGTTCCTTTTGTTGTCAGGTAAAGCTTCAAATGGTTGGACCTACAATGCAATAGAAGAAGTCCTCTTGAAATCTTTCTTTCATGAGCGTTACCTCTCTATTGTGAAGTGATATATCAATGAGCAAGTCGTCTTGATTGGTTTGAAGAAAGCCGCTTGCGAATCACCGCAGCCCAAAGCAAAACCTGTCACACTTTGGAAACCAACATTATTCACTGACGACCGGGATATTACTTTGGTATCGGCCTTTACAGACTAAATGTACTACATATATGATATTGATTGAGAACCAGTAAAGAGTTGAGAAGAAAAACGTACCCCGGACATGTTTTTGCCATTATCTTGAACAGCCGTTATTTGCGACAACATCAGTTAACATCCAAACCCGCCGCTGGTTCCAGTGAGGACTAGTCTGAATCAATCATACTTCATGTGAAATAGGTAAATCTTCATACGGGACATTTCATGAGGAAATCTCAAAAGGAGAATAAGTATTCAAAAATCAACCTACTTGAACTCTATGGGGCTTCCACTGTTAATCTTAACTTTTTCAGCGCTATCCGTGACATCTCCCTTCAACTTCAGTCGTACAGTGAACCTATAACATGTTTGATGAAAGAATTAACAATACGAATTCGTACATCTGAGATCGGTAATCTCAAATGTTCCAGCTGTGGAATTGACACCGTTAATCCCCAGCAGCATAACTCTTACAACATCATCTGTGGCGTACCCAGGATTTCGGCTCGGGGAGGGGCGCGACAAAGAAAATTTTCTAATGAAGGTGCGTGGCGTTAGCCACGCACTCCGCCACGCCCACGAAAAAAGTTTTTTACAAGGCTAATTTGAATTTTTAAAATTTTTAAAATTATTTACAAAAGTAAACAAGTCACTTGCACATTTTTATAACCCATATAAGTAGCTTTCAAAAATTTCGCAATCCATTCTCGGGGGGAGGTGCGCGCACCCCCCCCCCCCCCCACCCCTCCCCCCTCCCATCGGTACGCCACTGATATATATATATATATATATATATATATATATATATATATATATATATATCAGTGGCGGTCCCAGGATTTCGGACCGCGGGAGGGGGCGGAAAAATTTTTTTAAATGAAGTTAGCCACGCACTCCGAAAAAATTTTAGGAGTACTTCTTAAAATTTTTGCGGGTCCCCAACCCCTAAAATTTGGAGAAAAGGGGCGTGGCTGACGCCACGCCCCCGTAAAATTTTTTTATGGGGCTAATTTGAATTTTTAAAAAATTTTAAAAATTATTTTAATTATTTACAAAAATAAACAAGTCGTTTGCACATTTTTATAACCCATATAGGTAAGTTTCAAAACGATTTACCGGGAATAACTTAGGAAAGAAGCATCACAGTAAAATGGAAATTCCAAATTCGAAATCAGCGGCTCCCATCACCGTAGTATCAGAGTTTTTGGCTTGTTTGGTCTTGTTCCAAGGCAGAATATAGCCTTCAATGGTCTAAAATCTTTGTCGAAGATTGTACCTTAATCCTACAGTAACGAAGAGGATCGGTGTTTCGCTTCATACTGTAAATATAAGTTTAAGCCAGCTTTACAAAACGGTACTTGAAGCAAGGCAAAAGACTTGTTGGGAAGAAAGATACTAATGATCAAACAGTGTATACATACTTTACGGACACCCTATATATATATATATATATACATATATATATATATATATATATATATATATATATATATATATATATATATATATATATATATATATATATATATATATATATATATAGGGTGTCCCAAGAAATGTATCGAACGTTTGATCGTTAATATCTCTCTTCTAAAGAAGTCTTTTCTTTTGCGTCAGGTACCAATCTGTAGAGCTGGCTTCAATTTAGATTTGCATTATAGAACGAATTACTCATCCCTCTTCATTACTGTAGGATTACGGTAGAAACTTCAAAGAGGGTTTTAAGCAATAAAAGGCCATATTTTGCCCCAGAAAGAAAACAAAACAACCTGAAAACTTTTACACTAGGCTAGTTAGAGTTGTTGATTCTAACTGTAAAGTCCAACTTATTATGACGTCTTATTGAAGAGTTATGCCAGATAAGAGGTAGCGGTCATTTTTCCAATGCTCTCAAAAAGTGCGGTTACACCGTTTAGAAAGCTTCGCAACCTTTAGAATAGTTGAGTATTGAACTCAGCGTCCATAAAAACCCCAATACACAAGTTTTCACATTTTTTTTGAAAAATTTTGAAACGGCAGCTTTTTCCACATTGACACCATATGTTTTTTCTACCGTAATCCTGCAGTAATGAAGAGAGATGGGTGATTCGTTCTATAATGCAAATCTAAGTTGAAGCCAGCTCTACAAAACGGTACCTGAAGCAAGGCAAAAAACTTCTTGGGAGGAGAGATATCAACGATCAAACGTTCGATACATTTTTTGGGACACCCTGTATATATATATACTAGCTGGCTTACCCGGCTCCGCCGTATCCGGACCAAACTTGGCACACATACACTTCGGGCCCCGGCAGGTGTCACAGTCCACTTTTCGTTATCGATCGATGTCGATTTTACCGATTTTTATCGATTTTTTTGCAGAGTTCACCTACAGGGCTAGGAGTTGGCACAGGGGGGAAGTGAGCATGGGGATTCCGAATACAATGTTAGTTTTCAGAATTATTGATTACTTTTATTGATTTTATCGATTTTTTGAAATTTTGAGCTAGGGGGCTGGAATTTGGCACAGGGGTGTAATCGAGCATGCTGATCACGAACACAATATTAGTTTTCAGGATCGTCCATTACTTTTATCGATTTTATCGATTTTTTTTTGTAAAGTTTGACCTGCGGGGCTGGGAGTTTGCACAGGGGGGGGGGTAATCGAGCATGCAGATTACGAACACAATATTAGTTTTCAAGATCGTCCATTACTTTTATCGATTTTATCGATTTTTTGAAATTTTGAGCTAGGGGGCTGGAATTTGGCACAGGGGTGTAATCGAGCATGCTGATCACCCCCCTTGGGGATGATCAGCATGCTGGATTACCCCCCTGTGCCAGCTCCCAGCCCCCTAGCTCAAACTTTGCAAAAAATCGATAAAATCGATAAAAGTAATCGATAATCCCGAAAACCAATATTGTATTCGGAATCCCCATGCTCGATTACCCCCCTGTGCCAACTCCCAGCCCCGTAGCTCAAACTTTGCAAAAAAATCGATAAAATCGATAAAAGTAATCGATAATCCTGAAAACCAATATTGTATTCGGAATCCCCATGCTCGATTACACCCCTGTGCCAACTCCCAGCCCCGTAGGTGAACTCAGCAAAAAAATCGATAAAAATCGATAAAATCGATATCGATCGATGACGAAAAGTAGCCTATGACACCCGCCGGGGCCCGAAGTGTATGTGTGCCAAGTTTGGTCCGGATCGGTTCAGAAATGGAATTTTCTATTCGGAACATACGTACACACAGACATACATACATACAGACAGACAGACATACATACAAACAGACATTCAGCTTTATATATAAGATATATATATATATATATATATTAGGTCGTTTCAAAAGTAATTTCGCTTTTTTCAAACGGGCACCACATTTGACGGAATAAAGATTTCTAAGAGATCTTGGAGGCATTCGATGCAGAATTTCATTCTCTTTCTAACGGTTATGAAACTGTTGCAAAACAGTCAATGAGCTTTTAGAAAATTACCAAAATTTGCGACCCATGATTTTTGAGATGGTCAAGTTTCACAATTTTTTAAAACTGTCATATCAATCCTCAGAAGGAGTTCAAGTAAGGATTTGATAGAGTAAACCTTATAGAATACAACACTACTTTTTTCTCCTTTCCATAGCTTGTCATACATTTTTGACAGAATTTTGGCAGCTAAATCCTCGTAGAATATCAAAAGAAGAGCACTATTCGATGCAGCTTTTTCTCCTCTTTCTAACAGTTGTTTTTTGTTTTCGATTCGTTTAGTTTTCGGGGAGAAATGATCATAATCCATTTTTTTAGCGAGCCCCAGGCTGTACCCGAAAAACTCGAAATTTGATACTTCGAACCCGTAAACCCTCACTTGCTTTGTAAAATTAATGCTTACTCGTAGTACCATCTTGGTAGTCTCAAATTCCGAAAAAATTATGATGTTTGATGCGATTATTGCTAAGGTGGGCCTGCCAAAATCGATGGTTCTGTTGAAAAATCTTTTGAAAAATTACGGCGAGCTACGAGAAAGAGAGAAAAGTAGTAATGTATCCTATAAGGGTTACTCTATCGAATCGTTACTTCAACTCCTTCTGAGGATTGATATGAAAGTTTGAAAAAATCGTGAAACTTGGCCATCTCAAAAAGCATAGATTGGATTTTGGTTAATTTCTGAAAGCTCATTGACAGTTTTGCAACAGTTTCATAACCATTAGAAAGAGAATGAAATTCTGCATCGAATGCTTCCAGATCTCTTAGAAGTCTTTGTTCCGTTCACTTGTGGTGCCCGTTTGAAAAAAGCGAAATTACCCTATTTTCAGGTGTATAAGCCGCACTTTTTCAAATTTTCGCCCGGGCTGCTCAGCCGCTTCATTGTGTTTCGAGAAGCGATCCTTATGCCGTACGACTCTTTCACTCAATACACACCACGGCGTAGGGTCTTTTGGTTGCGGGATCCTTTGATGTATTCGGGCTGGTCGATTTAAGCTAGGACCACCCCGCGGCTTATACACCTGAAAATAGGTACTTTTGAAACGACCTTACAGATATATATATATATATATATATATATATATATATATATATATCAGTGGCGTACCGAGGGGGGGAGGCGGGGGAGGGGGGGCGCGCGCCCCCTCCCGAGAATGGGTCGCGAAATTTTTGAAAGTTACTCAAATGTGTTATAAAAATGTGCAAAGGACTTGTCTTTACTTGTAAATAATTAAAATAATTTTTAAAAATTTTTAAAAACACAAATTAGCCTTGTAAAAAATTTTTTTCGGGGGCGTGGCGTAAGCCACGCCCCCTTTTTCCAGATTTTAGGGGTTGGGGACCCGCAAAAATTTTGAGAAGCACCCCAAAAATTTTTTCGGAATGCGTGGCTAACGCCACGCACCTTCATTTTAAAAATTTTTTTGTCGCCCTCCCCCTCCCGAGCCGAAATCCTGGGTACGCCACTGATATATATATATATATATGTATATATATGTATATATTAGGTCGTGTAATAAGTTCTGTCCCATTTTTTGTTTTAGTTTTTTCTTGCCAACATTGACTATATTTGAGATAAAGTGAATGCGATTTTGAAAGTTCTAAGTCTGTTCTACAGGCTCATACCAGGCATCACCCAACATAGCAAGAAATTGAAAAAGATTTCATCATTGAGATAAAAAATCCAAAGAGCCGAAAAATCAATTTTCGACATCTTTTTTCCTCCAAATTTTTCTCGATTTTTATTGGTGAAACATATGAAACGAGCATGACAACAAGCAAAACAATCTATTAGACTTTTACACTTATTCTGTCGCTGTTTGCGCATGTTCCCTTCCTTCCACCGGCTACTTAATGACATTTTTTAGAAGTCGGCAAGGCAAGACTTCGT